TGCATAGCACCCAAAATGCAAGCAGAATGCTCAAGGTGCAAGCACAGCACCTGAGATGCATGCAGCACAACACCTGATGTCCCTGCACAGCACCGAGATGCACGCACAGCACTGCATCCACAGCCTGCTCAGCACCTGCAGCTCTTGCAGCACAGAGCTGAAGGCACAGCAGCTGCCTGCGGGTTCTGCTCGCATTCGCTAGGGGGAGGCAGCCTCCAACAGAAGCCAGATGAGGATCTCAGAGCAGCAAGGAAACGCTCCATCTTCTCCTTACAAAGGCATTTCCCTCGCACCAGTCCCAATCTGAGCCTCCCCAGCGGTAGGCTTGCTGCAGCTCCGTATGGGTTCCTGTGCTCGGTTGCTTTTGCCTCCCCAAATCCCCCTCCCAGGTTAATTCCCTCCATCCCAGCATGTGCCAACGATGAGATCAGCAGAATGTAACAGCTCCGAATGACAAAGCCAGGCACCCTTTAAGTCTGTATCGTTTCCATACTGAAGCACTTTGAAAAATCCTTCTCAGGTGACACCACTGAAGGAGCCATTCAATGATTATAAATAGGGTGGATATGAGGGATAGGGCACAAAAAGACCTGCTGATCTGTTCCAAAAGCAATTTCTCAGACCTCGTACCTGAAGTCTAAGGGATGCTTTTTGTTTTGTTCCAAAGCTTTCTGAAATCATCTGAAACAAAAGCAGTTACTTGCAAAGATCAGCACTGGGAGGTGGCTGCCCTCCCCCCTCAGCCTTAAGGAAAGAAAGCTTAATGAAGGATGCAGTCAAATTTTTAAGGAAGTTTGAGAAGAGATTACATTTTGAAACCCCGCAGTGCCTTCACTGGGCTAATTTAGGGGGAAAAAAAAGCTCAATTTCTGCTTTCTCTGGAGCTCTTGGGGTGACATTTTTGCTCAGCTGTGCCCAGTAACCCCAGCTCAGCTGCAGTCTGGAGGGGCTCATTGCACTCCCACTCGGTGCAGAAAGGGCTGAATGTGCACAGCCTTGAGGGAGGTCACAGCCCTGACCTCCATTTACCTGCACCCAAAGCAGAGCTCTGGGCAGAAATCCCAGCACAGCAATCCTTCCCCTGCTGTGAACTTGGAGCTGCCAAAACCACCCCCTCCTGTGTGCTGAGCATCCTAAGCATCCCACATTGCTAACCACCAGCAGCAAGTGGGGAAATAAGATTTAATCCTGTCAAGAAACTTCCATAGAAGCAGGCTTTCTGGCTCCCCAGGCATCTTAATGCCACATTCACCTGAATCACTGTGTCTAAACATCCATCTGTTACCAGCACAGCTTCATACAAACAGCTCAGGAAATTCAAAGGGGATTCAGGTTTCAGGCCTCTCAGCTGTGAAGTGATTTTTCTCTGCAAATGAGGGTTCAGCTCAGTTTGGGATCTCAAAGCAGGTGGTTTGCTCCTGAAGAGCCTCAAGCAGGTGGCCCCAAGCAGGTTTGCTCCCTAGCTGCATGCAGCCCCTTGTCTTCCCACCCCAAAATGCACAGATGAGGACTTAGAGAGGGGTTTTTGGAGTAAAACCCATCAGAAAAAGGGAAATTGGCTTCTGTCAGCATGCAGTTTCTGGTAAGTTGTAGACATTGCTGCCACGGAGCCCTTTGCAGAACACCCCCATCTCTGCACCTTTGCTTTGGCACAGAGGGAGGTAAGAATATTTGCTGAGGTTGATTCGTGGCTGCATGCAGCGATGCAGTTTGGTCCCAGTTCACCCAGCCATGCCAGCAGAGCTTGGCCTGCTGCCCCCATACTTCATCCAGCCCTAGGGATGGATGCAGTGCTGGGATCTACCTCCTTTCTGTGCACTGCACACACCTTATCCCAGCTTCCCACCTTCCACACTGCTGCTCCAGCTCACAGCACTCAGAGCAAGCGTCACTTGCCCAAACCATCACAGAGCAAAAATACCAGTTCTACCCCCCAAAATGCAGCCCAGAGGAGCTGGAGCAGAGTCTCATTGAATGCAGCAAGCTGTGTTTATCTTCTGGTTCAGCACTACCTCTCACAGAAAGAGGAAATGGTTTGGAGACAGTTTTTTTTTTCTCTCTATTTTTTTTTTCTCCCCCCTCCCAGATGAGCAAAGCGTAAACTAAATGCTGACACAAACGAAATAAGTTTAGCAGCAAGAGAAAGTTCAGCCATGGCTGAGCAGTTCCCACGAATGCTGTCCTGCAAAGACAGATTGGGCCATATCCTGGCTCTGGGCAGCCTGGTCTGGTGCTTGGCAACCCTGCACATAGCAGGGGGGATTGAAATTAGATGATCGTTGTGGTCCTTTTCAACCCAGGCCATTCTATGATTCTGTGCTACAGAGCAATTTGCACAAAGCAAAAGCAACCCCAGAGCCAGCTTGCAACAACCAGCAACATTCCCCTTGCAAGAGCACTGGATGATCCTGCAAGCAGGAGGCTGAGATTTTGTAGGATGCTCCCTATGTCTCGGGAACACAGCTAACAGAGAGATTTCTTCACCAGGACTGGTGTGGCCTTCCCAAATATCATGCAAGAAATAATACTCCACCTGAAGAGATCACCTTGTCATCTTCCCTCAGCTTTGGAACCGAGTCATTCCTGCTCACTAGGAAGCTTTACAGAAAGCCTGCTGGCAGGCTCAGAGCATTTTCAAGAGATGCTTCACAAGTAATACCCATAGGACAGTGCTGCCCTAATAGCTCCAGCAACAGGAAAAAGGAACAACCAAGCAGTCCATCCCTTTACCAAACACATCCCCAGGACAGGTCACCTACAAAGCACACAACCACTATAGCAGCAGCCAATGCTGTAACAAAAGCACCCTGCACCTAATTAGCTTCATTAACAGCAGCTGAGTTGAAAGGAGCCACCACCAGCTGCTGGGGAGGTGTTTATATGAAGGTGAGACTCACTTAATTAGTGGAAATAAGGGTGAGGAACTTGCTGTATGGGTAAAAACAGTTCTGCTGCAAGCACTAAGAGCAATTCTTGAATAGTGATGTCAATACAAAAATACAGCTGTAGCTCTGAGCCCTGCACCCAGATTGCAGATGGAAAGCAAAGCACCAGATTCGTGCCTGCAGCAGCGATGCTGTATTTTTGGGTGCCCACAGGGCTGAAGGTAGCACTGAGCACAGCCACTGGGTGGCAATCTCCATCCAACGCTGACACCCCTGGGACTGCCACATCCCCTCCCTTCACCCTACATGCAAATGTGCTAACATCTGGTAGCCAGGCACCTCATACAGATAGAGCCCAGCTATGCAAATAAGGAACAGGGCCCAGCTGAGCTGTCATCTACTTACAGCTCTTGGGTTTTAATTATTATTATTATTATTATATTTTTTTTCCCAATGCTCATCTGCTGGTTGCTGGGCTCTATCGCTGTGCCTGAGGCAATGTCCCCACCTTAGCAGGGCAAAACAGCCCTTTGAGATGGGGTGCCATGCTTTGTGCGAGGTTGATGTTACCCATAAATCTCCTGCTTTTCTCCCACTCAGTATTTCCCATTTGCACCCTGTGCGGGATCAGGGCTCACAGCATCCTGGGGGTCCCCAGGCAGGAGCAATGGGAGATCCAGATGCAGTCCCTCTCCTCTGTGTTCACAGTGGGGACATCACTACAGCTCTACCTATGGGATATTATGAGGACAAGCCTACATCCACAATGCCCAGAGGACACAGGCTGTGCTTCCAACAGCTAATGCCATGCACAGTGTAGAGCAGCACAGCTCAGACCCAAGGACCCGATGACTCAAATCTGTATAGCAAAACCAGCAGCAAACCACTGCATAAACCTTTGGCTGTGTTGGTCCTACCCATGCTCCTGCTGCAGCTTTCAGAGCTGCTTCATCACCCTGAACCACACAGATAACAACCCTCCCAGTGCCACCATCATCCTTATCTTGCAAAAAAGCCTCCTTCCAGGCTTTGGCTATCCAAAACCCCAAAGCCAAGCATTGCATATAACCCACAATGGTGGAGAATGGCACCAGGAACAAGCTCTCTGCCCCAAAATGAGCACAGCCACCTCTTCCTCCTCTCCCAAACCACTGCCCAGGAGCAGGAGGGAGGTGATGGGGTACACTGCTCCAATACCAATGAGTAAGATGCTTTGGTTCCCCTCTGGTTTTGTGGGGACAAGCAGTGATGCTGCGATAGGTCTCAGTGCTCGTCGCTGCGGTCGCTGCTGAAGAAACAGCTGTGGTAGCACCAACAAGAGGAATTGCAGCAGGTGGTGAAGTGATGCAAGGCACTGCTGTCGTGGGAAAGAAATGGCACCCATGGGGTGGGATCAGAGCGAGTGGCCTGATGGAAAGGTGGGTGATGGTAAAAGGTCTCTGGAGCTTATCTGCAAAGTGCCGCCCCAGAAAGAGGGAGAATGCTGACGTGGAGGAGCAACAGGGGAGAAGATTTGCACTGAGTACCAAAGAAGCTTCAATGAGCCTCAACAACTCATTCAATGAGCCTCAACAACCAGCACTGAGAACGTTTTCCCTTGCAAAAGGGATTCCTGCAGGCAGGAGGCTGAGAAGAGTTTCTGTAGGAAAAAGACTATTCTCAAAGCCTTGTGAATGCAGCGAATAGAAGAATTTCTTCTTAACCAGGGCTTGCTCAGAGCCTGCTAGGACTGGCACCGGAGCTGCTGCAAATGGAGGGCAAACAGGAAGAAGTTGGTGACGACTGGGAGCAGCTTCTGGCTTCAGGGCCAGTGTTACCCACACCACCAGCTTGTTCTCACTGGGTAAAGATGAGGAGAGGAGAATTTCTCTGGGTGCGGCTTTCCCAGCAGGGTGAAGCTGATCACAAACACTCTGATTCAGCCTTGAGATTTCTCAGGGTAATCATTAAACAGGAAAATGCCTTTATAGAGCTTAAAAATACTTTGCTTGCTGCCAACATCTGCTCCCAACTCAAGGCTGACAAGGTTTCCAGGAAACTCTCTCAGCTTCTTTATCATTTTTATTAAAGGTTGTAAGTCAGTGCTGGTGGCACATTTTAGGCAAATGAGTCACGAGAGTGAAGTCCTATTTTAGCCGCAGAAATGATCTAATGAGGGCAGCCACAATGCAGCTGGGTGGGAGGGGTGTCCAAGCACAAAGGCACTTTGTTCTGCCAGGTTTTGGATATAGGATACGCAACCACAAGAAGGAGGTTCTTGGGTTCTCCCAGCAGAAGGCTGTCAGGTTGGCAGGAGGCAGTTGTGGGTTCCTGGCCAACGTGGCCACCGAATCACTCCCATTCACCTCCAAGATAGCATCAACCAACGGTGGCCACAGAGATGTTGGATGGGACACACAGAAGCGAGGGCTCGGTTTCATGCAGGTGGAACCAAGAACAGTAGGAGGCACAGACACAAAAAGTCCTGCCTTGGTTTCAATGGTGAACCACACGGTTTGGTCGCATTGTTTTCATTCTTGACTCGGGACGGGAGGGGAGAGGAAAATGACTCCAACCTGGTTATTTCCCCCGAAACCATCACGAGAAGGTGCTCAGCCAATCGGGGCTGTCGCCCAACATTCCATCCTTCCCTTTTATGGTCAAAATCTGGCCTCTACAAAAAAAAAAATAAAAAAATAAAAAAATAATCAGAGTCGAACATGGACCTCACGGAGATACAATGGGTGCGTTGTGGGGCAGGCTGTCCCATGCCATGCTCTGTTGGCACACCGAAGGGCCAGAAAAGGGGAAAAAGCTCACCAGGCAGGAGGTGACGTCTCCTGTGGCGTCAAAACCTCTTGGCTCAAAAATGGAGTGCCATAAAGCCTTGAGATACAGCGTGTGACGGTGGAGGAACTGTTGGGCATCTTGAGTACCTATGGTGGGGATAGCCAATTAATTGGGGTTCAAGAAAGCACCACAACTGCTGATGGGAATGGTCGTGGGAGCAATTCCAAGGTTGAACATGGCTCACACTCCCCGTTGTATTTGTTGACACAAGTTGATCCCAGCTGTGAGGGGCAGGATCACCTGCAAATTCACACTGCGGGCTGACACTGGGATCTGAGCACCCAGATTGAGACGTAGATGTCCACGTTCAATGCAGAGGAGTTGGAAGGGACCTATGAAGGTCATCTAGTCCAACTCGAACAATTCTGATTCTGTGACATAGAGCATCACTAGATGCCAACCCAAACCCTTCCAGAATTGAAGATGTCTGGATGTGGTTTTTCCAGATACAACCACACAGCCCATGCCAATCTTTGCTCGGCAGTGAGAGAACTGTCCTACCCTGCCCTCAAGAAGAGGTAGATGAAACAGATAACTAACGAGCCATGAAGGAAACCACTTTCCTACTCTGACCCTGAGCATCCTTTCTGGCTTTTGTTCTGACCTGAGGCAGGATCTGCAATTGCCTGTCCTTTTCAAGAGAGATGAACTCAAGGAAGCTTTGGTTCCTGATCAGTGTGGTCCCATCAGATCCCCAAACTCTGCACCTGTCCCCAACCAGTGCATACATCCCAATCCACCCATCAATACTTATCATGCACCTTCACAAATAGCAGAAAAATTCACAGATGTGTTCTCATTGTATTTAAATTCCAGACTTGGACAGAACGTGGAGCAAATTACTGGGGGAGGGGAAAAGGGTCGCTTGAAGCAATCTGCCTCAGGGTAAAGTTGGGCTCCCACCTCACCCAGTCCCAAATCTTAGCCTAAGGCAGCCCTGTAAAATGAATAATCTCCCCGGGAACGTGTCTGTTCCCAGCACGCCTATGTATTTCCTCATACTGATTGTGTTTAAGATGCCAATGAGACATGATCACATTGAAGTGTTTGGTTAGGAGGCAGAGCCCTTACCGAGTGAGAAATAGAGGTGCCGCTGCCGAAAGAGGGTTGAATGATGTCACGTTGGGCCCTGGTTGAGTCTTCATCACACAAACCTACTGGAACTGAGACAGGAGATTCGGTATTGGTGAGCAGAGGAGAGGTCCGTGGGTTTCCCTTTGCCCACCATCCCTTGTAGGGTGATGCAGCCACCAAAATAACAGATTTCATTTCTCTCGCGTTCTTTCTGATGGCCCCCTGGTGTAAAATTAGCAGCAGGGAAGTTTCAGAAATGAATTCTCAAATGCGCTCTGGTTGCAAGAAGAAAAAAATTAGTACCATGGGGAAAATCTCCCAGGCTGAAACTGCACAAACGAACAGAAAAATGCTCTGCTGAGACAGAGGTGTCATGGGGAAGCATGGGGGACATACAATATTCTTGACCCAGACTTCCACGCTTACCTGTGAGAGCTGAGAGCAAAGCGCTTGGGCCACTTCTACTTTCAAAGAGCTGCTGATCCAGTCAATAATGGGAAGGAATAAAGCACAGGTATTAAGAAGATGGAGTAAGAGCTGTTTCCGTGGCTCGAGGAGCAATTCAAGGAGAGGAATCAGTGGGAAGGCAATCCCCCAGGGCAGCACTTCGCATGGCACGCTCAGTGCCACATGGCCCTCCAGCTGGAGCTACCAGCCCACGTGCACAACAGGAATATGTCATGCTGACCCATCCGTGGCAACAAAAGGCTGAAAAAGAACCTTTCCCAGTGGGTGTTCAAATCAGCTCTGTAGCACATCCGAAAGGATGACCTTAGCTGAAAGGATTCCAGGAAATCCACTGTCAGGAGGCAACTCGTCAGTGTTTAACTGCAGGTTGGTTGTGCTGCTCTCAGTGCACAGGGGAGGACGTGTTCCCACCTGGTAATTAATCAGGGTTAATTAAGAGCAGCACATCTAGCTGATGGGTGCTTAGGGCTGCTCCTTGCCCCAGGTGGGGATGGCCCCATGCAATCAGCCATACTCAAGAGGCAAAGCAATGACAGCTCGCTGCATGTGCTTTCTCACCACTTTATCCAGAGCTGCTTGCTATTTGCTTATTCTTCCCCCATGAATCTCCAGCTCCCAGAGTCCTGTTGTTACATCAGAATCATTCTTCCTTTTTCTGCAAAACAAGAACTTCACAGGCTCTCAAATGGAGAGACAAAGCCGAGCAGGCGATGGGTGTTTGTGCAAAGGCTGCGCCTTTCAGCATGAGCTCCATGTGTCCTCCGGGCTCTGACCTGTGTCATTCTGGGACACGATGATTTAGGAAAATTACTGACCTTGGCCGAAGCAGGATGACGTGGTGGCCAGAGAGATAAAGCAATTAGGAGGATGAATCCTGCTTTTTTCATCCTGCCAAGATTCTTAAACCGCCTGACCTCTGCAAGGTCAGAGCCTGAAAATGAAAATAAAAGCAAAGACAAAGGTCATTTGTTAGAGGAAAAAAAAAAATGTGCTGGCCTTTCACAACCCCCCTCCCAGTAGCTGTATGAATGTCTTCTCGTGCTTGTGGGCAAATCCCACGTCCCCAGGAGACCTCCAGCAGCTGGGATGGGCCAGACCAACTCATGGGGAGCAGGAGGGTCATGGCAGCAGCACAGGGGGGGCACAGATGGGTATCCCCATCCCTGCACTGCCTGGAAATGAGATTACCTTCCCAGTCCATCGCTCTGTGTAAGCTCTCCAGGTGAACAAGCAATTGCTAAGGGGAAACGAACATGACAGAGGGCTTTCACTTTCCATTTCAGCCCTGGGACATCTCCCAGCATCAGGAGGTGACACGTGAAGGAGAGCAGCCTGAACACCGAGGACCTTCCCATTCAGCACTGCATAGGAGATGTCCACCTCCAAGCAGTAATTTCAGGTCAGAAGCAGCGTCTCTGCCTGCTTCTTCCCCATTGCTATTGGTTTTAAATCAGAATTCCTGGAATCTCTGCTCCTGGTTCCTTCCCGTGACCCTCCCCCCACCAGGGGTTTGAGCAGGAGTCCTCAGATTTTACCATCATTTTTTTCCCTTCGCTATTCCATTCTCTCCAATCAGCAAAACGTTTTACTCTCCAGAGTGAAGTCAAGCTAAAATCCTTAAATTGCAGGCTACTGCATGGTCCCTATTGGAGCTGCTGACCTGGAGGCTCAGTGGCCAAGGGTACAGCTCTGTGCTTGAGGAAGGATGCCCCAAGCTGAGGGTGAGCTCTGAGCACCACATCCCTGCTGCTAATGGAGTGAACAATCTGCATGCCAAGCAGCAGGGCAACAGCACTTCTCCATTTCCAAAGCTCAGTGCTGTGCTCCTTTCAGGCTGTCACTTTCCTTCTGCACTACCTGGGGCTGGGGAGGGATTTCTTTACAAAAGAAGAGCATGCACAGCAGGAGCAACCTGCTGCGAGCAATTGGCCATCCAGCAAGGTGCTGACAACCTGCTTGGATTGCCAGCAGATTGAATTAAGTGGCTCCACTCCCGCTTTGAGCTGCATGAGTCTCTCTTACAGGAAGCAGATTTCCTTGCAATTTCCTCGCAGTTTCCTCCTCTGCTGCTTTCTAATGGGATTTGAGGTGCAGTTTGCTCGCTCTCCCTTTCCGTGCCAGCATCCCCCCGCACGCAGCCCATGCAGGGCAGAGCCGTTTGCTCTCTTGCAAAGGCACATCGGTGCGGTTGTGTTTCCTTTTCTGGCAGAGAAAGCGAGCAGTGAGCTGATGCCAAGAGCACAGCCACTGTATTGCACAACGCCAGGACAACGCCAGCTCCAACCGTCAGGGGCTGCGTGGTGGCAGCGGCGGCAGAGGAGGGCGTGCAGTTGGTGCCTTTGCGGCCCCCGGGGTCTTTTTATACTTTTAGAGAAGTTGGGCTCATCCTAAGTTCCTCTCCCACAGATTGTTCCTGTTGTTGTCGCTGCTCCGACCCCGCAGATCATGTGGCTTGGCATGACCTGGTGCCTCACTGCACTCCTGCTAGGCCTGGGCTGGGGGGGACGGTGAGGACGGCAACTCCTCTGCACCTACAGCTTTCCACCTCTCAGTCCATCTTCCTTTCAGTCCATCCCCTTAGGGAGCTCCTTTGACTTCTGACATGCAGAGAGCTCTCTGTCCCCCTGGGCAATGGCATGCACATTTGCAGCCCCAACGTGTGCAGCCATCTCCTTCCCCAAGCAAGCATAGATGGGTGGCATGGTAGAGTCGCCGCAGCTTTTTTCTGCCTGACCCAAAGGTATTTGTCTATCTGAGCCCAGCCTGTCTCCCCTTTGGGTCATTTGTGCATGGAATCAGCTTTGCTCCAAGGGACTATCTCATTATCCCAAGTGCATTGGAAGGCTGTGGCTCCATAAGGAGAGCTGTGGAGAGCTCCATAAGGACAGCTCAGGCTGTGTCTGGGGGATAAAGGAGGATAGAGCAATGGGCAGGGACCCACAGTGCCATCCTCCAGGGCAGGGAAGGCACCCTCTCCACTCTCCCCCATGTTTTCCCCCTGTACCACCCAGTGCACACGTCTATTTTTTGCAGCAGTCTTCGTTGCTTCCAATGGTGGCAGAGCAGCAATGAGTTTGAGGAAGTGGTTTGCACAGCCCTCAGACTTTCTCTGAGGTGCAGAGCACCCCAAGGCCAGGCTCCTGCTGCAGGTGTGCAGGGCTCTGCCTCCAGTGGGATAACGGAGAGGGTCTCCATCCTCTCTGTTTTCATAGAGTCATGGAGTGGTTGAAGTTGGAAAAGGCCACTGAGATCATCTGGTCCAACCATCACCACATCATCTTCCACCTTTTGCTACTGCAGTGGCTTCTCTATCCATCTCCACGTTCCTGGGATGCCTGTGAGAGAGCAAACCACTGCCTCATTGAGCTCCGTTGGCTGCAACCAGTGCCCACACAAGGAGCAGGCAGACAGGTCCACACTAAATGCTATTTATGCAATGCTCCATCACCCAGCACCATGGAAAATCCCACCTGCAGCCCAGCGCTCTCTTTCCCCCAACCTTGCAGCACGTGGCTCTCCATGACTCAGATCAGAGCAGAGCTCAGCCAACCTCTGCTTTCAGTCAACAGCTCTAATTAATGCTGCAGAGCCTTTTACTGGCTGGGGATCATGAATATTTCCATTGCTGCTCTCCAGCTGTTAATTCCAGCGAGGTCCTTTTCACAGTGATCCTCACGGATGTCTTCCAGCAGGATTTGTCCCTCCTAATTTCAGGGATGGCATTTTCTTTTTGCAAGCGATGTGGTAATATTTTGCACAAGCAGAAAAATACCATTTTTTCTTCAGTAGCAACTGCTAAAACTCATCGGCCATAAAGAAATCCATGCACTGAACAAGCTTCTTGTATTTTAGCTGCACGAACTTGCAGCTCTGTGGCTGAGCTTCATCTCATCTCAGGGGGCATTTGGTGCCAGCAGAGGCTGATGCATACTGCCTAAAAGAGCACAGATGATTTAGCAAGCACATCATCGCCTGGAGGGGTTCTTGTTGCACAATGGATGCCATGCTACTGCAGCAGTGTCAGTCCCACGGCATGCACACAGGCCACAGTGGTTTGCACAGTGTCAAACTCACACTTATGAGCAATCTGTGCAGTGCTCCATCTCCAGCTTCCATGGATCTGATAGAGCCAACGCTGCGTGAAAGCGCTCAGCAGAACCAGCCCAGCTCTGCAGCTCTTGGTGCTGAGTAACCCAGCTTTCGTGTGTGGGTCCTGGCCAGGAAATGATTCGGAAAATGAAAATCAAGTCACACCTCCCCAGCAAAACTACAGCAGCAGGGCTGATAATTTTGGGTGAGAGCTGCAGCGGAGCAGAACGGCGCGGGCTGTCCCCCACCCTCATCAGCTCATGCTCTCACCCCTCACTGCTTCCTGCCTTCCCCCAACCCTTCTGGGATGGGTTTTGCATGTTTTTCCCCGACGGGGTAGGATGAGAGGGGACAACGTCGCCCCCAGTATCACCCCAAGCATTGCCCCCAGCTCTGTCCATGCCCATCAGTGATGCAGGGCTGCAAAATGCACCTTTATTTCCTAGCAATCCCCTTTATCACGATACAGAGCTTTGTTTCCCCTATGGATGCAGCTGGTTGCGTGCAAGGAGCCATATAAACCCTTTCTCAGGAAAGTGGCTCTCAGGGGGATTTTGCAGAGCCAAGCAGCTCCGCTCTGCAGAAGGGTGAAATGGGGAAACCCTCCTGCTGCGCTCGGCTGGAAGCTTTTTCGTTTCTGCACTACCTTGTGGCTTTCTGGGAACTCATGGGAGCCCTCCTGCACTGAGCGTTTTCATTAAGGAACAAGAATCCTGTTTTCTTCCAGTCTTCCTCATCACCAAACCCAATGGGGACAAGGGAACTTATCACCCAGGAGGTGCCAAAAGCCATTTTGCTACATACGCCGCCTCCTTCCGTGCCACGCGATGGATGCAAACAGTAGGAGCAGTCCCTGTGCCCTTTTGGAAGGGACCAAACCTGCTCCTGCTCAGCTCCATCGATCCCAGAACAGACCTCTTGTGTCACAAGGAGCCCCCAACCCCTCTTTCAGTCCCTGCAAGGCGCTCCGTCGCGTTTCATAATTGCCTTTTTGCAGAGGTTCTTATTGAGTAATGCCTATTTTGTTGAAAAATTACACCGCAAACAGCCAGCGGGGAAGGATATAAATAATTGCTAATAAATGTCAGAGTAGATTAGCAAATGAGAAAAGCCAAGAAAGAACTTTGCTTTCTTTCTTTTTTTTTTTTTTTTTTTGCCTTTTTGTCTTGGAAAATAACGGTGGGGTTACTGCAGAGATTGTATGTAATGAATACCTTGCAGGGGAGTTAGTGCTTGGTCATTTCCTTAGCTGGCTTAATGTTGTCTGCCTCCTCCGTGGGCTACAGCAAGCCTGGAAAATAGCCTTTTCTTCTGTAAAATGAGAAAAAGCAGACAGAACATAGTGGGTTTCTTCTGAGCACATTGAGAGTCATGGGGTAAATAGTTGTACCTGCTCCCATGTTGGAAAATTTGGGGTTATGGCATCCCCAGGGCTCCTGTATCAATGATATTTGATGTTGACTTCTTGAAAAGAAGCCTCTAGGCAAAG